TTTAAAAAAAACAACTGCACAGAAATAGAAACTTGTCTCATACACTCCGCAACAATATATAGCAGGAGTGTATATTTGGTAAACTAGGTTTACTTCTTGTATATAAGTCCATAAATCCCAATGAGTCTCGATCAAGATTTCGATTTTATTCTTTAAAAAACTTTTGTCTTTTTTCAATTCATCGATTGTATCAGATAAATTCTTGAATCTCTTCGAGATAATGAGGGCCCATGAACCTAAAACAAGTATGCAGGAATGTAATTGTCCAATTCCGTAAATGCACGCTAATGTGATATTCAGATTACAGAATGCGAGTTCAAACTCGGAATTACTTATTTCCTTTAAAGCAGGATACAAAAATAAGTCAATTACAGTAACAAATGTCATTATTGAATAGAAGCAAACTATAAGATTAGCTGTAAAAAATATTTGAATATCATCAGCCATTTTTTCTTCTCCTTCGTATCCACTGTAGTTTCTAGGAAAGTAAAGCCTCTTCCTTTTAAAGAAACTGAATTGAAATGCTAAAAAAATACCAAATGTAATTAAAATTAATTTTATAAGTATCTGATTGTTCGGGAACATTCGGGTCCATCCGACGCACACCAAATTGTCTGTTACTTCTTGAGCAGTAAGTATTATGTTAGTCCACATAAATATCTCAATAGCAGTTTGGTACAAAGGATATAACTTTGACAGATATTTCCGTTTTTTGGCAGGCTTTTTACAATCGCAATACATCATTTTCATTCCAAATATCTCTGACGTTAAGAGGATTGGGCTTAGAAAACAAACAATGCACAAACTACGTTTAGTGTAACCTGTATACATGTTTTACTCCTAGATATGAAGGACTTAATGAAAATATGGAGAATCGTAGACTTGGAATCAGTTTTGGAACCAGATAAACCAAATGCAGCTTTTCTTAAATAAGAAAATGATTTGAATAGGGTATTACGTAAACGATTGATTATTTGATGTATAGCAATCACGTGAGCGAAACTGCACTAGTTGCCTTCACTAGTAAATGTATAATGTCAATACATTAAAAGCATTTGCTTCCGTTTTTAAAATTTTGAATATTCCATCTAAATATTCTCATTATTATTCGTTTGATATTTCGCTTGATACTAGAAAATTGAGTCTTGAATAAATTAAACACTCTTTTAATATTTCAAATTCAGCTTTATGTGAAATTGTATTTTCATTTTATACAATTTTATTTTAATGTATAACAAAACTTTAATAAAAATTTCATTTTTTAAGATTAACTTTAATTGGTTCATAACGCTATCCACCTTGAACTGATTTAGCTATGTTTAGTTACTTTCCCTGCTGTTGTATATATGACATAGGGAAATATGGCGATCGGTCGAAAAATGATCCCCCAAAATGTCTACATTTTTGGACTTAGGAACATCGAGTAATAAAAAAGAATTTCGGGGTAATTTGTGTATGTATGGAAGTTAGTGTGTGAACGTAATAAAGAATTTATTTCTCACCCGTCAAAGTAATTGTCCACCAATTTTTTTATAATTTTTAAGTTTTTTTCAATAGCAATATAGCAATATAATTAACTGATGTTTAGTTATCCGACTCTTATAAGATTTTAATCCTGTGACATTTGACCTTTGTTGCTTTTAGAATCGTGGTGTTTTGACACCTCCGCACAGAAAAAAGTCAAAAAATTAATTTCCAACATATGTGTGTGTGTGTGTGTGTGTGTGTGTGCTCTCGTCTGTTTCATTAAATATCTCAGGATATGTAAACATTACAAACCGAAACTTGCACGGTAACTTGTATAATAATGGACATCGAGGCTATTCAATTTTGGTGGTTGAAGGTGGAAGGGTGAAAAATAGAAGAATCTCGTGAACAGTCGGTCTTTATGAAGATTTTACACGTTATTATCACTTACAATTTTGTATACAACACATCCGTATTTTCATGATTAAGCTTTCTCTGGATTTTTTCAGTGTATGACGTAGACAGATAATGTATAAATCAGGGCTGTGGAGTCGGAGTCGGAGTCGTGGAGTTTTGCTGTTTTAGCCGGAATTGGAGTCGGTAGATTTTTACGCGACTCCACAGCCCTGCCAGGGCTGTGGAGTCGGAGTCAGAGTCCGACTTTTCCAAACTCAGAGTCAGAGTCGGAGTCGTGGAGTTTTGGTCTTTTGGCCGGAGTCGGAGTCGGAGTCGGAGTCGGTAGATTTTTACGCGACTCCACAGCCTTGGTATAAATGTAAAATAAACGCTTGCAAAACTGAGACATCGAGTACTAAATTCGAATTTTTGTGTTATGTAAAACTAACGTAAATATAATTTTTTATAAATAAACTCATTGGAATTATTATTAGTAACATCCGGTATATTTAATAGAAGTCGTAGTGTGCGCCTGTATTCAAATCTACTTAAATAAAAAAGACGATTCGTGCAACGTGTGCAGATTTTTCAATTAATAAAGATTATCAATTTGTATATTGTATGTGCAGTGTTGGCTTTATTATGAAAGACTAGCTTATACCCGTAACGCATTGCTGCGATCTCAGAAGAAAGGAAATTCAAGCAAACTCGTTACGATAAAATTCAATTTACATGTTATTATTTTTATTGAAACTTATTATTATTATTCATTTTCATTGGGAAAACATTTCAAAGTGTCGTTTCAATTCTATTTATTTATTGGAGTGCTTTGTGGATACACGATATTTTTTATTTTTCCGTCTGGTGCGTACACGAATAAATCGGAAGGTTTTCCGACGCGTGAGCCGGCCACATACAGTTGTACATGCGAGAAGCACGGATTCTCCAAATTTAACCCACACACTCGCAGCGATTGTCAGAAGCGCGATATTCCCCATTTATATATAAAACGATTGATTATTTGATGTATAGCAATCACGTGAGCGAAACTACACTAGTCGCTTTCACTAGTAAACGTATAATGTCAATACATTAAAACATC